TATAAATTTCCTCACTGCCCTACAGACCCAGATGGGACTCTGTGCTGAAAGGGTAGGCTCCCCCCAGTCCCCGATAATCCCTAACCCACTTTTCGACTATGCCGTCTCTATCCTAGATATTTTGTGAGTGGGTCACATGCTACGTGTCTTTTTTATGGTATAAATGTGCATGCATTGGCCTTTTCACCGTTTCTGCACCTGTCATTCAGGCCCACATTTGTCTGCGGTTTCCCAAATCTTCCATCACCCTTAATAGACCCTCTTTCCTCCTTCCGCCCACCCTGGTAGCCAGGGACAAACTTTGGTGTCTCTAGTTGCCGATCCTGTATGTTCCAGATGGGTGGGGTCCTGTGCTACCCGTCCCTTAGGGCCGACTTCACTCAGCATAGTTTGGGGTCATCCATGCTGTTCAGCCTCATCACTCCTCAGGGCTGTTCACAAATAACATGTCTGTGTAAATAACGCACATGTGCACATCACACACACGGCTCCCAGGAAGCCAAAGTCCCGGTGCAAGGCACATGGCATGTGCCACCCTCCACCGTACGTGTGCACCATGTCGAGTGGTTTCCACTTTTTGGCTGTTGTGAATCGTGCAGTGCGCACTGCTGTGTATGTATCTGGGTCCCTGCTTTCGAGTCTTCTGGGTGCATACCTGGAAGTCGGCTTGTTGGTCACACGTTAGCTCTGTATTTAACATCCCGAGGACTCTTTTCCATCGAGGACACCCACTGACATTCCCCAAACCTAACCATCACCAGTGGGTACTTCTGGGGCCGAAGGGGGGTAGGCTGAAGGCAGCTCTTACTCTTTGCTTCAGCACCACTTGCCTTGGACTAACTAGCCTGCATGACCTTTGGCACTTAGTTAGAACTATCCCCACTCCCTGAGTGATCACAGCCACCCCCTACCTACTTCCCCATGTGACTCAAAGCTCAGATCCACAATCACCTCCTACCAGAAGCCCTACCATGTGCCTCCCAAATCCTGGTCTGGTACAGCTGGCTACTGGCCTCCTGGGGTAGCCAGATCCCAGCCCGTGCCTTCCCAGTGGGACCGCAGGCTCCCCTCCGCCTTGGCCCTGGCCCTGTGGCAGCCCTTGTGCCTGCAGTGCTTCCGAGTCTTTAACCCCTGGGCCCTGCTGACCCCTCCTTGGATTTCCCAGGTGGTATCTCTATGGGAATAGATTGCCCAGTCCTCCTTCCGCAAAGTGGCTAGTGGGTTTGAACTGCCAGCCTTCTGGTTAGTAGTCAGGTGCCTTAGGCACCCCACCACCAGAGTTCCCTAGGAGGGGCTGGAGGGTGGCTGAGTGCAGGGAGCATGGGCACCCAAGGGTGCTGATGAACTACCATGCTAGGAGGTGCTGTTGCATCCGTTTTCCAGGACCACGAGCGGCAGCCATGCTCAATCTGTGCCCCTGTGCCCACAGGCCCCGCCTCCTCCTCCTCTCTCCACAGCTATGCCGGCTTCTATCCACAGCTGCGATACCAGGTTGGGAAAACCTATGGTCGCACCACAGCCCAGCTGCTCACAGATGCCAGTGTGCAGAAGAGCCCCTGCTCCGTGCTGTCTCCCATGTCCAGGCCCAAGTTCATAGAGGACTTCAGCAAGCCCAAGCCACCCTTGGATCCCTGCTGGTACCTGAGCCAGCCCTACATCCCACACTACAGCGGTGAGCTGCTGGCCCTCGGCCTGGTCTCTGCCCGGGCCTGCTCACCTGCTGTCCTCACCGGCTGTTGTCTGTGCAGGTCCCAAGCCCTACAAGAACTTCAAGATTCTGGGCCAGTACCCACCCCAGGATTTGGATGCCCAGGGGCTGCTGAGTGCAGAGAGTGGGCCCAGGAAGGTCCTGCTACCATCAGGCTTCATGCCCTATCCTCCCTACCCACCGTGCCCACCGGGCAGGAAGGAGGACTCCAAAGACTTTGGACACCCAGGCCTGCAGTTGGCATATGGGGAGGAGGGCTGGAGGCCACCCCTTGTCCATGAGGCCCCAGGAAACTCCCAGGTACATGGAAAGGCCCTGAGCTTCACCCCCCCACACCAAGACCCAGGTAGGGTCTGGAAAGTGACCCGGTCCTCTGTCCCTCAGCTGTATCACTACCGGAGGGACGAGTACCTGCCCCCAACCCACCAGTCAGAGACGCTGGACGTGGGCAGGTTTCAGAGGCTGCCCCAGCTAGACCACCCCAACCTGATCCAACGGAAGGCCATCTCAGGTGGGTGCTGGGGGCCTGAGGTAGGCGGGAGATAGAAGACAGCCACTGGAGAGCTGTCATCTTGGTTCCTTCCCCAGAGCCCCTTCTCCCAGCCTATTCCTGTTATGGCCCCAGGGGTAGTTGCTGGTGTTCAGGGAAGGCAGAGCCCCAGCTGGCTTCCTGGACACGGAGTGGGGGTCTCCACCAGGAAATGCAAAGGGGGCCTGGAGACCTGCTGCCTTCCCTCCCTGCAGGCTACGCCGGCTTCGTGCCCCAGTTTGCCTGGGTGATGGGAATGAACTACCGCGATGGGGTCACACAAGCCTTGGATGAGTTTGACAGAAACCAGGTATAGCCACTCTGAGGGAAGCCTGAACTGTGTCCTGATTCAGCTGGGCAGTGTTACCATGTCCCAGGCACGAGCAGCAGCACAGGGCGGGCTCAGCCACCTCCCACTGCTTCCAGAAGAGTCCAAGGGAGGGGCTTTGCCTGGCCTAGGCCCTGTCAAGGTGGCGACCCTCCCCTCAGTTTCTGCATGTTGTGGGGACAGAAAGGCCCCGGCTACGCTCAGCACTCAGGGTGAGGGGAGCCTTCAGAGCCAACTCACTCAGCCCTAGTGAACTTAGCCACGAGCTAAGGCAGCAAGATGACACCCCCTGTGCCCCCAGTTCCTATTCAGGAACCCCATCTGTGCCCTGGGTGAGAGGCTGCCCAAGACGCACTGGCCCAGCAACGCCATCTACAACAGCCAGGGTCTGATTCCCTTCTATATGGGGTTCGTACCATGTGAGTAGAGGGGGATAGACCAGCCCAGGCAGCTGCTCCTAGGGACCTGGGGGAGGTGGTGACAGGGCCCGCCCGCCCCCACTCCCAGTACAGACCAGCCTGGCACCTGGACCTCCTAAGCTTAAGGAGGTGAGGCCCTCCTTAAGATTCCTTCTCCAGCAGTCAGGGGCCCCGAGGGGAACCTCAGCCAGGTGACCAGGGCTCAGGGGTACCTGTCCTCCCTGCCCAGCCATGCAAGACAACTCCGGGCTAACGTTCGGCAACAGCACCCGGAAGGCCTATCGTGAGGAAGCGGAGAGGCGCAGCCACACACTATGAAAATGCTTTAATGGAGGCGAAACCTGTACAGCGTGAGGCAGAGCAGCAGATGCGCGACAGTGAGCCAGCATCAGAGCAGAGCAGGCTGGGGCGAATAAAGAGTTCCCACCGCCTCCGCTTCCACTCGCACATGGCCTAGGCCACCTCCTCCTCCGCCTCCTCCTCGAACTCGCCCTCCTCCTCGGCTGTGGCGTCCTGGTACTGCTGGTACTCGGACACCAGGTCGTTCATGTTGCTCTCGGCCTCAGTGAACTCCATCTCGTCCATGCCCTCGCCTGTGTACCAGTGCAGGAAGGCCTTGCGTCGGAACATGGCGGTGAACTGCTCCGAGATGCGCTTGAACAGCTCCTGGATGGCCGTGCTGTTGCCGATGAAGGTGGCCGACATCTTGAGCCCCCGGGGCGGGATGTCGCACACGGCCGTCTTCACGTTGTTGGGGATCCACTCGACGAAGTAGCTGCTGTTCTTATTCTGCACATTCAGCATCTGCTCGTCCACCTCCTTCATAGACATGCGGCCCCTGAACACGGCAGCCACTGTCAGGTAGCGGCCGTGGCGTGGATCGCAGGCTGCCATCATGTTCTTGGCGTCAAACATCTGCTGGGTGAGCTCGGGCACGGTCAGGGCCCGGTACTGCTGGCTGCCCCGGCTGGTCAGTGGGGCGAAGCCGGGCATGAAGAAATGAAGGCGGGGGAAGGGCACCATGTTCACTGCCAGCTTCCGGAGGTCAGCGTTGAGCTGGCCCGGGAAGCGCAGGCACGTGGTGACCCCACTCATGGTGGCAGACACCAGGTGGTTGAGGTCACCGTAGGTGGGTGTGGTCAGCTTAAGGGTTCGGAAGCAGATGTCGTACAGGGCCTCGTTATCGATGCAGTAGGTCTCGTCGGTGTTCTCCACAAGCTGGTGGACCGAGAGGGTGGCATTGTAGGGCTCTACCACCGTGTCTGACACCTTAGGTGAGGGTACCACGCTGAATGTGTTCATGATCCTGTCGGGGTACTCTTCCCGGATCTTGCTGATAAGGAGGGTACCCATCCCAGACCCTGTCCCCCCGCCCAGGGAGTGGGTGAGCTGGAAGCCCTGCAGGCAGTCGCAACTCTCAGCCTCCTTCCTCACGACGTCCAGCACCGAGTCCACCAGCTCAGCGCCTTCCGTGTAGTGCCCCTTGGCCCAATTGTTCCCAGCACCGCTCTGGCCTGCAAGAGAGCAGCGGCCAGTCACTCTTGGTCACCAGCACCTGCACCACAAGGGCCAGTGACAGGACAGCACAGAGTTCACCTTGTGGGCAAAGCAGCCGAACCCACAAACCGACCTGCAAACCGTCCAGCTAAAGATTAAGTCGGAGGCCAAAGTCGCAGTGGCCTGACAACCAGCCAGGTGCTCCCTCAGGCGGCCCTGCCCACTTGCTCCCAAGCACAGGCAGGCAGCCCTGTCTGCACAGGCCTGGCTCCAGGGAGATTACGTCTGCCTGCGGACAGCTGGGCCTTCCTCCCAAAGCCGCTTTAGGAGAGGAGATTGAGTGACTGCAGGGCAGGCAGGGCAGGCTGTGCAGGGGCCCCGCTTGTGCCCTGGACGGGGTGCATTCCGACGGCCTTGACCTTGCGCTACCCTCCCCCCGCTGCGGGCCTGCCTCGCCCGCTCCCTACTCACCGAAGACGAAGTTGTCGGGGCGGAAGATCTGCCCAAAAGGCCCGGAGCGCACCGAGTCCATGGTGCCCGGCTCCAAGTCCACCAGCACGGCCCGGGGCACGTACTTGCCACCTGGGGGCGGCAGGGAGGGCGTCAGCTCGAAAGGGCACGCGGCGCGCGAGGGCCAGGGGTGCGGGAAGGGGGCTCACCGGTGGCCTCATTATAATACACGTTGATCCGCTCCAGCTGCAAATCGCTGTCTCCATGGTACGTGCCGGTCGGGTCAATGCCGTGCTCGTCGCTGATCACCTCCCAGAACTGCAAAAGACGCGGCGGGCGGGCCGGCGCGGGGC